TCAATATATTTTTCATCTTCAAATAAATCAAATTGAGCAACCGGGGAGCCCTACGTCAGTAGCAAGGCCCTTTTCTTGAGCCATACATCACGTTTGGCAGTCAGTTACCAGGTGCCATGCTAATCTTCTCTGTATCCCTAAGGACCATAAAGCGCTTCAGCTTCCAATTCCATTTGAAAAAAGGAAAACGGGGTTACAAAAAAAATGTAGTGGCATTTCCATCACCACACTCCCCGTGGTGTACTTTGCACCACTTTGAGCCCGGCTCTCAGTTGACCTCATCCTCAACCAGGTCAAAACTTCCAGGGCCGCTATCCATGTGGCCCAATCGGCCGTCCACTGCCCCGCCATCAGCTCCATCCAAGCGTCCATAAAGAAGGCGGTCGATGGCCTCCCCAGGCATCGCCATCTCGTCATCTGAAGGCGTAGGGGTCCGTACTCGATCTCCATGGTTGTAGTAACCCCCAATGACTCTGGAGGTCATCTGTTCATGGTGGTGGCGGATGCCGTTCAATGGCGGATCTTCAGCAGCTCGCGGCCACGGAATGTTGCCAGGCGGATGCTCCTGCTGCAACCCGGCCACAATGGCCTCAGCCAACCTTTGGTGATCCACTGCCGGCAACGGCTGCACCACAGGTTGCGCGTTGACCGGAGGATCATTCTCTCGGCTTTCACTCTCCGAGAGCTCAGGCACCTCGCTGTAGGAGGAGATGCTAACCGGCCCATGGCGACCTCGTCCACGTTGATCGCCGCCTGCATGTACTCCCGAAGGTCCAAGGTTTTCATGAGCAGCTCCTCCAGGAATGCCAGGATATGGCGGCCGACGCTGCAGCATATCGCTCGCCACAATGCGCCCACGGTCTGCCACTCCCTTTCCATGTCTTCCTCCCTTTGACCCAGGTCCACGGCCAGCAGCGGTGACTGCAACTCCTCCCGCTTGCTGGATCTCAGGTCCTGGATGAACCCGTTGCGCAGGCTCCCCATCGCCCCAAGAGGACGCAGCACTCGGCGGCTGACCAGGCTGCTGAAGCCGCGCAAAGGTGTATACCCTTCCACTGGCCACTCACGCCACCACGAAGTGCTCGAGGAGGATCGCACCACCGGTCTTGCACAAAACGATGAGCCCACTCCTGTCCGTCGTCCCAAAACATCAAGGTGAACCGGACAGGGTGGAGCTCGCTGGCATTGAAGGGCATGTTGGTGTGAATGGGGTGGAAGGTCTTGGTGCGCCACTGCCCATGCGACCTCACCCACCATTCATTCCCCAACTGCGTCCATCGATCTGCACCTCGAGGAGGGGTCGCAAACTGGTCCTCATTCAGCGGCCAGAAGTTGTAAGCGATCTCCTCCCTCTGGAACCGCATGGCCGCCAGTCGCGGCATCTCACCAGCCATGGCGAAAAAACCACCGTCTAAGAAAGGGGCGGGATCGCCGGAGACGCACTGAGCCAAGGTGTTGCTGATGGCAATCTTCTGCAACTGGCCACCAGAAGGTTCATGCGCCGCTCCCAGCATCCCAGTCATCCCACCATGGCGCCTGGAGTCCAAGCGCTCTGCAGCTACGTTCAGCTGCCCACCATCCATGGCTTTTGAGCCCCGACCCAGCCGCGCGTTTGGGGAGCCTCGAAGGCTACTGTAGACTGAAGTGAGTTCATGTTCCTTCACTCCAGGATCTGGTGCCGGTTCATGTTCCCTGACACCATTTCTTGTAGGCCAGGGTTCATTTTCCCTCTGGCATCTTTTTTCGACAGGGTTTCGAGCTGCCCCTAGCTCTGCCACTGCCGCCAGGTGTCCCAATGTCTCTTTGGACTGGATCTTGTTGGGGTCTTTTTTCGCGGTGTTCTTGTGACCTCCTAGGCCCATCTTCCGCGCCAACCAGGCTGTGAGTGCAGCCAAACCTATCACGCTGGCCGTTTTGGCCATTTTCGTCACATTTGGCTGTGATGCCACAGCTCCCAAAGCTGCAATGGTTCCTACCACTACGCAAGCTACTTTGGGGGAAATTCCACTAGCTGCGGCCGGCTCATTTTCCACCAAAAACATGTTCATGAAGCCATAGAATTTCTTCCAGGTTGCATTGGCTGTAACAGCCTTGGTCAAAAGGTCTGAGGCTAGCTCCGCTCCTGGGACATGTCGTCCTCTCCAAAACCCCCATTTCATCCTCTCTCTCAAAACAAAACTGCGAAGGTGCAAATGCCTCGTTCGCCAGGGTTTATCCGGGCTCTCAAGCAAACGAAGACCTGACTGGTTGTCCCCGTAGAGCACCTTGTCGCCCTCCTCAGACAGCTTGTTCCCCTCGAGGATGTCCAGCACTGAGGTTACGGATTCGCCCAAAACCCCGTAAGGATCCAAAGTTGCGCCAAGGACAACTTCGCCAACAAACGACAACTTTCAAGCAAAACGCTGTCGTTTGTAGAATACGCTAATCTTTCGCTATATATGGCATGCAGCAACATCTTAGAAATGACTATTATAGGACGCAAAGCGATCTCAGCGGCGCATAGTGCCAACGCTGCGCGAAGTAGACCTGCGCAGCGTGAAGTTCCGCGTGGAAAAACAAAGTTCACGCATGAAAGTTTTTAAATTTCGCAGAGCAAAGCAAAGGAAAGTGTAAAACATCGGCGACGATGCGTAAACTTTTTCGAAAACAAAAAGCAGGAATTTTCGCGCTGCCATGCAGCAGTGTGCTCACGACAGCTACGCGGCGGAAAGCTGCAAGATAAGCAAAATTAAGAAAAGGAAGGAAGGAGGGAATTAGGAAGGAAGGCAGGAAGGAAGGAAGAAAGGAAGCAAAGAAATCAAGCGCAGAACAAATGGATCGGGAAAGCAAAGCGCAGCTAACCGGCGTAAAGTTGCTTTTTGGCGGCGATGTGCGCAGTGAAGCTGCGCGGCGCGGGAACTTTGCGTGCAATATATATTATAATATATATATATATATCATGCAAATATTATAATGTGGAAAAAAAGCAAAGAAAAAAGAACATGTAAAAAGGACGATTTTTTTACAAAGCGAGACTTAGCGGCGGTAAGTTGCGCTGTGCGGTGATGCCCACCATGAAGCTGCGCGGCGGGAAGTTGCACCGCGTAGGAGGAAAAGGATCGGAATATAGGAAAGGAAAGGAAAAGCAAAGGAAAAGGAAAAGGAAGGAAAATGAAAGGAAAAGGAAAGGAAAGAAACGTGGAGAGAAAGAAAAAAAAACAATCAAAAAATCGGAAGGAGACGAAAGAACAATACACACATGTAGACACACACACACACATATATATATATTATATAAGTTATAATAGCTGCTATATAGTAGACATATAGAAATATAGAAAGCGCATAATTTGTTTTTGCGCATTTTAGCGCCAAAAAGTGTCGCTTTGCAAGCGACGATGCGCGCAGTGATGCTGCGCGGCGGGAAGTTGCGCCCGGAGGAAAGGAGCAAGGAAGGGAAGGGAAAAAGGAAAGAAACGAAAGGAACGGAAAGAGAGACGCGGAAAAGGAAAAAAACATGGAAAAGGTATAAACACAAAATGGAACGAAAGAATATTATATACATTATATATAGCATTTTAATAAAAATAAAACATAAACTGCAAAGCGAAACTTAGCGCCGCGAAGTGGCGCGTTGGAGACGATGCGCACAGTAAAGCTGCACAGCGGGAAGTTGCGCCGTGTAGGAAGGGAAGGAACGGAAAAATGAAAGGACAGCTATGCAAGGGGAAATATAAGGAACAGACAATTGTCTTTTCCTTATATTTCCTCTTCCCTTTCTCCATCCATAAAAAACGATTATATATATATATTATAAATATATATGTATATATATATACCATATTTGAAAATCAAAAATGCGCGCAAGTACATGCACGCACGACAGCTGCGCGGCGTGAAGTTGCAAGAAGTATATGCGGCAAGCGCATGCGCGCATGACAGCTGCGCGGCGGAAAGTTGCAAGAAGTAACGCAGCAAATTTTGAATATAAAAGAGAGAAGGAAGGAAGGAAGGAAGGAAGGAAGGAAAGGAAAGGAAAGGAAAGGAAAGGAAAGGAAAGGAAAGGAAAGGACAGGACAGGACAGGACAGGAAAGGAAAGGAAAGGAAAGGAAAGGAAGGAAAGGAAGGAAAGGGAGGGAGGGAAACAAGGAAGGAAGGGAGGAAGGAAGGAAAGAAACTATTAGAAGAAACAAAGCAAAGCTAACCGGCGTAAAGTTGCGTTTTAGTTTTGGTGCCTTGGCGATGCGCGCAGCAAGGCTGCGCGGCGGGGAGTTGCGCATCGTAGTGCAAAACTGCATGCGTGCCATGCAATACCTTTTCATCTGGCTCAAGGGGTAAAAGGTATTCTGCGGTTTATAAGCATTGCAAGGGTTGCACTGCAACGAACCCAAATGACTATAGCATCCGTTGTGCCACAGCCGCTCAATGGTGGCAATCATGCCACACTACTAGACACCAATGCACTCATGTGTGGGTGAGGTGGATTTTGTATTTAAAACATTTTCCTTCACAGAGCAAACAACTTGGCAATGATGCCTGGGCACTGCAGCATTTTTTTGCGCTAGCGTCTTGAGCCAGTATATTTATATATATACATATTTCTTTGCATTTATAAATATATATTTAAGTATATATATATATGTATACAGACATTTGCATATATATATTATATTATATTATATTATATTATAAAACTAAATCTTTTTTTTGTTTACACACACACACACACACTTACAAAACACACCTCGCAAGGCATCCCCCCAAAAAAAGGGTTTGGCTCCAGAGGTTTGAACCACGCCTATAGGTTTGATTTCTACCAGCCATACCCTATGGAACGGTGGTCCAGCCCAGTATGTCTGAAAATAGAAAAACACCAAACCCAATGTTTAGGGATCGTCTCCCACATTAGAATTCCCATTTGGTGGTAAACTAGATTTTTCACACAACCACATAGCTCCACCAGCCCGAGCCGGCTGGTCTGCACGGTGCATCGCGATGGATGGCATTGGTTTTTCCTGTTTCAGGACCGCTCCGCATGCTTTGCACGCTCCCTGGTTTCCTTCCAACGTTGGGACAGAAGTAAAATCAACCGTTGGAATGCCCTTGTAAGCATTGTGGTTTCGTGACACTTTGCACCGATCCTTTTGAGGTGACCTAAAAAACTTTCGTCTTGAAAGCAAGCTGTGAACCTTGGGTTTACTTGCGTTTTTTCAACAAAGACACCTATCTCTTCTAGAGAATGGTGTTTGGGTCGGAGTTTCCATCTTAGGACCCCCCTACTTGCACAGTTTTGGGACATACCTTGCCAGTGTAGCAAGTGTTGGTGCAGGTGATCATTGATCTCACTTGCCACATCCTGGGATAGGATGATATCATTCCCATCCATAAGGTTGATCGCATGGGTCAGTGCCCAGATGCAAAGGGCTCCACCTTGAAGTTGATGTTCCTAAGCATCCGCTGGGAGTACTTTATGGAACTTGGAATTTATGGAATCCAACATTCAAAACTGATGTGTCCTTTCAAAGATCAACAAAAACTGAAAACATAGTACAATGTTCCTTGGGATGATAGGGCGCCATCACAGCATATCATTAACTACCAGGTAACTACCAACTTTGGAAATCATTGTTTGGTAGATGCTTTGATTTTTGTGATTAGGGTGTCTCTTAAAGTTGTATTGCCTAATAAGGGTGGTAAATCGGTTCTTCGATTTGCATGGGAAAGGAACCGCAGTTTCTGCATGGGCTCACCAAGATTAACATATTCGAGCTAGATACCACCAGGGCAGGTATACAGCACCCAAAAACAATCTCATTTGGTTGACAGAAAACTATAACCTCAAAAAACGAGAGTCACCTGTTTCGGACGCGAACTGAACAGCTTTGCATGCCATGTAGCCCAACAACACTTTTACATGCGCCGCTTTCCACGCACTTCCAAGTTCTGGGTATTCTGAGTTGGTTCCAAGACCCGTGTTCTTGGCTGTGAACTGCAGCTTTCGCACGCTGATCCTTAGAACCCCAAAGGTACAAATCTAAACCTTTGAAGGCCGCATCAAATATCGAAAGGTACTTGATCCCGAAATAGGAAAATGTTTGGTAAATCTGTGCAAATGACTTCTCAGATTTGAAGAACTTGTTCATTTCAATGCTGAACAGCCGAAGCCGGTGATCCACAGAAAGGTGAGGTGGCCCCAACACGCCGCACTCAAGAAAATCACCCAGCAATGACGCAACAAGATCTCTCCCTGTTCCAAGGTAAACCACGTGCATGATATCGTGTAGGCATGACTCTAGGGACCATCCTGGTATGATGTGCCACGGTGAAATTGCTCTAGGAGGAGTAGTTCGCATGTAAGTGTCATGGTTGATTCGGGTCAACCACCTCGGTGATTCCAACCTGAAATCTTTGTAGCACATACGATCATCAGTTGTTTTGCTGATTTTTGATGCGAGGCATTGCTCACAAATCAGGCTGCACCCATAATGCCGCAAGAAATTGTTTGTCTCGACACGGGCCTTTGCGTCATATCTCGCCGCGAAGTAGGCCCCCCTGGCCGCTGGCAGAAGTTGCAAAACGATTTCGGACACCGTTCCTAAGTTTCACATTGGGAAATTTGAGTAAAACAGCAAAAAAGCCTCCACCCACGAGCTAGAGGTAGTCCTCGCATCTTGTAGCGATATGACTTGGGGTCAAACTCCTCTCCATCCAACCCTGTGGTAGGAAACACACCCGCTGCAGCACATGATAACGACCATGCCCAGAGTTCGCAAACCCTGCGGTGAACACCCTTCCTCACCTAGGTTGCAGAGACCACACTTTGTAAGACTACCACACATGTTTGAACCACACTTTCAACCCGACAGAGCGCCAAGTATCTTCATAACTCTTCATGGACTCGTACGCCAAGATCACAGAAGGAAATTTGATGTCAAATACCTGGGTAGGCATGGCAGCCACACAGATGAATTTTGCATGCCAGATGCAGATACCAGAACAAAGGTAGGACAACAGAGAATGAATGGACAAGAAAACAACCCTAAGCATTGTCTAGAAACATCACCAGTCGCGAGAAAACTTCCACAACTCCAGACAAAGTATTCCGTGTTCCGATAGACTTCTGCACCGTCTACATGAAATGTAAATGGTATGGTGCCTTGGCTGTTGAGAAACCAAATGGGAACCTTCAAAAGAGGATTGAACTGTTTCATTTTGATCAAGGGAAAAAACTAAGAACAGTGTGATCTAACGGAAGCGACCCATCACGAAAAGCTTCATGCCCTTTCCACCCATCGACTTGGAGAATGTGTTCCCAAAACTCTTGCAAGGCCCTGGAACTGCGTTGCCCCAACATAGAGATGCTAAACTAGCAGGGTTGTGAGCACTGGTGTAAAAGAACTGTATAGACATAATATATATATATACACATAAAAACATATGTATACATATTACACATATATATATAGACATATAAGAAAACACTCTGTGATTTTTAAAACCTGGAAACCATTTTGTTTCGGTTAGAAAGCGGGCCTGTTCTTGCCCTGCAGCTGCCACAGCATGTAAGATCTCATGAGGCAACAGAGTAGGGATCAACATGGTCTTTGTATCTGTTTCATCACGCACCTGAGTTGGAACCCAAACACTGCAAAATAATGCAACAGATACAACATTGATTTTTCTTCAACATCTTTTTTTGTATGATAGGACCCATGCGAAACCCACTGGGAGCCCCACTTCTAACTCAAAGGGGGTGTAGTACATGTCCAGGTTTGTACCATGAAGATTTCTAAGCCACCGGTGCATATCCCGTTCCTGGTTCGACGCACATGTGCCGAAGGATCCCAAAGATGCGAAAGCAGCCACTGCATCCACAGGCTGGCCATCTCTGTTCTGGGCTTGGGCTATGGACGCCACTGTCGAAACATTTGTCCTTCCAGACCCAATCAGTCCTAAGAAGCAAGGTTTTTTTTTTGCAATATATTTTTGAGAATAAGGCCAAAATTTTGGCAAACATCCCATAAAGCTGCAGCAATGTAGCCATGGATCGAATGAACTCTTCCGCTTGATGACTATAGGCCATTGTTTCATATCGGCATCTCCGTTTATTCCTTAGAAAGATGCTTCAAATTCAGGGACCTATCATACTGGGACGATTTCTGTTATTGCCTTGAACCTTTCTTGGAGGTGAGATTGCCCCAACACTGAACTGCGTTTGCAGGTGCATTCAAGTGGCTTCACCGCCTTGGTTTTGGTCTTCTCCCGATAGAGGCCTCCGCAAGTGCACAGCGTAGTGAGGGGATGTGGGAACCTCGGGGTTTTCTGATTCTTGGGACCTTGGGAACCTAGCAAGATTGAAGCCTTGAAGAATAGATTGATGGATATTGATTGCTAATTTTGGATAGGACATCTTCCAGCCCCGCTGACCAGAATGATGAAAGCCATTTTTTCCAGCAGCCCAAGTCGAAAAGTTGATTGGCATTGCCATGGAATTCGCAGAGCGACCCAAATCTCGCTCTAAACATCACGGCATGAGAATTTCACATTGCTTCAAAATCCTTAGGCTCTGATGATCTGATTTGTCACCCACTCTTTGCAGGCTCTGCAGAACCCTTCTCTGGTGCCGCTTTGGCCTTGGCCTTATTCTTGGGTCTCGGTTTGGCATTCAATCCACGAGTCAGAGCTTGGCCAGCCACCTGCGATGTGGGCAGGCTAGAATTTATAAATAGTGTTGGCCCTTTCTTTACAAACATTGGTAACCTTGAGTTGTCTCCCTAAACTTGAAACATACCTACACTGAAGTGAGCAGGGAACAAACAGATTTCCAGAATTCCTGCCTTCGCCTTCTCAAGCCATTGAATTTGGACAGTGGTGGCATGCAAATACTTTTTGATCTTCTGTTCATCCGTGTCATCAGCAGTGATGCCCTGAAGGAGTTCATAGAGTCGCTCCAACTTCTTGGAACAATCCATAAGCTGGTTGGTGAGTTCACCTGAATATTCCACCCCCTTCAAACTCAGCGACAGCTTCCGAGCAATAGCCGCTTGAGTCAAGGCTTCAGATGCTGCATCCTTCGCTTGCCTGGGCTGTTAAGCAGGGAACCAAAGCGTGGGCTTGAGGTGCAGTCGAGCTCAACAAATTGGATCCCAAACTTGTATGTTGAAGATTGTAAATATTGATCTTGGATCCCAAGCTGTATTGATAATATATATATATAATAAATCTATCTATCTATCAACATAATATTTATGTCACTATATGCATTGATAATATATATATAATATTTACCTATCTATCTATCTGTCTATCTATCCATCCATCCATCCATCTGGCATCCATTTTGGGAGTGTTTCGTTGGATCTATCCACCCACACATCCATCCATCCATCTGGCATCCGTTTTGGGAGTGTTTCGTTGGATCTATCTATCTATCCATCCATCGATCTGGCATCCATTTTGGGAGTGTTTCGTTGGACCCAAAAACAATTGTCTGTTTGCATTCAACATTCACTGTTTTTTTTGGGGGGGTCCATGCACGGAAATTCAAAACCAGTCGGTGGCACTCCTTATCCTTTCATAACTATAATGTGATATCACTCTTTGAGTGAACTCGTTCTCTCTCTCTCTCTCTCTCCCCCTCTCTTTCTCCAGAATTCTCCATACCTAAAGAAAGAAATGATTGTAAAACAAGGGATGTCTGTGGGGGTCACCCCTTGTTTCAAGATGTTTAAGCAAACACGGATACAGCTCTCAGACGAAAGACTTCTTGGATTTCCTGTGTAATGTTTGAGAGCAATGAAGGCAACTGTATTTCAATTTTGTCATTCTCAAAACTAATGGTAGCTGTTGTAGTTGCATCTCTTGCGAACAGTTTGAGAACAACTAAGATCACTACTCATGAAGGGTCTTGGGTTCCACCGGGACTGCTGGCTCCTGCGTAGTGCGCGGCTTGGCCTTGCGCTTGGCCACCGGGGCTTCCATCAGAGTTTCCCAGGTGTTCTTGTCACCTTCGGCCTGCGAGACATCCATCTGGGGAAGAGCTCCAGCAGCAAGAGGACCTGATTCACCGGTGAGGGCAGCAAGTGTGGTTTCATCAGGGCTGGTAACTCCCTTGAGGGTCATGGACTCCTTTGTAAGGTTCTCCGTGCTGACACTTCGAGCTTTCCCAGTGTAATAGAATATCTCCTGCATCAGGGAAACATCTCAGGAAACACCTCCAGAAACATGGTATTTTCAGTGGTATTGAAACAACCCTTTCCAAGACGAATGCAATGTACTGTTGGGCGCAAGATCTAACCCCATTCCCCTTCATCGCTCAGTAGTTCATTATTTTGAAGTATTATCTATCTTCATGTATTTGAAACTGCACTTTCCAGGATGGGTATGATCGGTACGACCTATCTATATATACAATACAAAACATGTTTACGCACAAGCTGCTCATCGCTGGAAACCTCTTGAACTAGTAGAGATGAAACTTTGAATCCATCCATCGAACCATCCATCCATCCATGCATACATACATACAGACAGACATACGGACATACATACATAATCATACATACGCATACCCATAATTTACCCATAAACAAATATATATATATACAGTATATATATATATATACTCCTCTAAATACACTCGAAACTATATCTTTATATATAGACCCAACCCCGCTCCTCTTCGTCATTGGGAAAATCCGGATCCCAATACCACATGCCCCGGGATCGAAGAAGGGTGGCCAACTTCTTGGCTTTCTCCGGTGGGTACTTGGCCTCGATATCCCTCAATTTCATCCCCTCTCGGCCACTGGCTGTGCGATTCACAGTTTCGGCAGTGCGCTCCACATGCAATGCCACCCTGGGAAGTAAGCAGAAAGGCATAAAGAAATGTGTTTTTCTGTGAAATTGATTGAAACTGCTGGGCTCCCACTATTTTGGAACACACCATGCCCGCAATTTATTTCCCATCCCCATTAGCCTTTTTACTTTTCAATTCGGCATGATGAACTCTGTTGAACAGAAAAGGAATATGGATGTCCTGTCAAGCAACTCGTGAAGGTCCTTGCCGTGAGCCAACCAAAGGTTGAACAAATCAACCTTATCCCGTGCGAGATGTTCCGATAATCGCACCGGGAACTTCTTCTTGTTCAACACTTCTCTGCTGAAAGTATCCCACTCTTTCTTGTTGGTTCGACCTTGGATGGGGAGACATGGACTTGATGTAAAGGGTAGACACCAGATGACCACAATCAACCACCGTGATGGGGACCCCTAAAATCAACAAATCCAAATATAATTTATCAGAATCAATTGAAAATTGTTCACACCACCCGGAAGGACATGTTTTGGGCAAAATTGCAAATAGTATTAGTTTCTGAATGCTCATGGATAGTGACTGTTGGCCCTTTGGGCAGGGATATCCACGGCCGACCCAGCTGCCTCATCGATCTTGTCGCCTTTGCTCGATGCAGGAGCTGGAGCTGTGTTAGCATCATCATTGCTGGTTTCATCATCCACGGTCTCTTGGCTGGACTGGGAAGATTCCTCAGAGGAATCGTGGGAGCTTGGGTCAGAGGCTGCCTCATCATCCATCGATTCGTCACTCTCATCCAACTTTTTCAAAGCGAGGGCTGTGGTGCTGGGGACAGCGACCTCCTGATCGATCTCCTTCTCTTCCTCCTCCCCCTGCTCCTGTCCTTCTCCCTCGTCCTGGCCCTCCTCCTCACTGTCTTCTAACATCTTCTCGAACTTCTCTTCCTCCACCAATTCCTCTGCCTCAAGCTGAGCGATCAGCTCATCAATGTCTGGGACTTGCAAGGAACTCTTCTCTGCTCCTGCCACAACTGCTAGATCTTCATCCAGATGTGCTTCGTTCTTTTGGGGTTCCTTTTTCTCATCATCGCCTTCCCTCCTTTTCTTGACTGGACCATCCCCAGTCTGATCTCCTTCTGGCTCTCTTTTCTTCTTTGTCTTTCCTGCCTCCTCATCCTTGGACTTCTTCTCTTTCTTATGCTTCTTCTCCTTCTCCTGTTCCTTCTTTCCATCCTTCTTCTCTCTCTTGTCGGTCTTCTCTGTCTTTGAGTTCTCGGCCACAAGTGGCTTTGCTTCTGCATTTGGTTCTGTCTTCTGCTTCTTGCATTCCTTCGCCTCCTTTCTCTCTGTGTTCGACTCCTTTCTCTGTTTTTTCGACTCCTTTCCATCCTTCGCCGGCTCCTCTCTTCGATCCTTCTTCGACTCCTTACCATCCTTTCTTGACTCCTTATCCGTCTTTCTTGACTCCTTGCTCTCCTTCTTTGACTCCTTGACATTCTCCTTTGGCTCCTTCTTGTCTTCTATTGCCTGAACCTTTGCACCCTTCTCATCACGTGTGCCTGATGGGCGCCTGAGGGCTGACTTCCTTTCCTTATTCTCCTCTTTCTCTTTCTTCTCCTTCTTCTCATTCTTTTGACGACCTGTCTTGTCTCCCCTGTCTCCCTTCTTGGTATCTCCTTTTCCCTCATTGTTGAGTGCCGGCGACACCAAGCCACCAGTTCCTCGATCAGTAGGGGTAGAGTAGACGAACCGGTTGGATGATGATCCAGCTTCTGAGGGCGTCATAGTGGAAGGGGTACCACCATCTTTTTTGTGGACATCACTCGGCCGTGTTTTCCCTGAAAGCCTACGAGGGAGTGGGTCCGGGGCCTGCATTTGACCCTTCTTTGTTTTGGCCATGGGCCACTGATCAAACCGACCTACGTTTCAAAACGTCTATGCCAGTGACAGCAGCTTTGGACCTTTCAAAATCCTGCAGTGGTATGCAGTGGTGACAACTGATACGTTTCATAATGCAATCTTTGATTTGAAGCTGACAGGATATCAAGAAAATATGGGTTCTACAAATTCATAATGCAATCTTTGATTTGAAGGTGACAGGATATCAAGAAAATAATGGATTCTACAAATCGCAACTTTTCTCGGCATATTCCATGGGTCTGCTTGCCCCACCATGCCCATTCCAAGCCTGGTTTCTGTAAGGTCTTGAGCACCAGTCGCGGCATTGGTCACCTCCAGGCTAGAGCTGTGGAATATCTCGGGGGTACTCCACTGGGATGTGGTGGAGGAGGGTTGGGGACAGAGCTGAAGATGCTCCTTGATTGGTCTGAAAATGGACATTGGTAGAAGAACCCTGAAGGCATCCATATTCAGCATTTTCCCCATTTCTCAGATGATTCTATCCCATCTCCCAAAGGCTCACTGCATAAACGCTGAGTGAACCACTGTGCTATCATATCGCAGCGATTGAGTAGGTATTCCACTCAACCTTCTTTGAATTTTTGGTGCAAAAGGATTCCTACATTTATTTTGTGAGGAACTCCAGCACTGGGTTTAAATCTGCTGATTTGATCCAGCTTTGAAAATCCGAGCTCAGCTTCCGTGGGGCACGTTGCTTCCCGCCAGCGGCTTTGCACAGGAAAGCTGCAGCTGCTGCTTTCACTTCGGACTGGTGTCTGGTCCTCAGCCTTGCCAAAGCCCGGCCGAACCTTGGCGTGTGCCAAGAAAACGTTTGATATGGGATAACAAATCAGGGTGGACCCAAAAGTGTTTTTACATTAACCCTACAGCCATACTATTTCCATGTTCAAATTTTGAATTCCAAAGAACTTTTCAGGGGTGGATCCAGCTGATAAGCACAAGCAACCCATCTGTAAATACATAACCATTAAAAACTAAGACCAATCCAATAGCCTAAGGAACTGCCTGGTGTAGGCCTGGCTTCCTTTTAGGAAGCGGGACCCTTTTACCCGATTGATTCCTTTGGAGTCAACATACTTCTCAACTAGCTGCACGGACTGCCTTTGTGGGAGTGTCGCAGGCTTGAAATCATAGATCTGCTCGATGAAGGGTTGGCCTGATAAAGAGCTGATGAGCTGGATGGCCCAAAGACAATAGACAATAGACAAATCACCCATAACTCTGTTTGTGTGTGTGCCCAAGATGCCCCATCAATTAATTATGCTGACGACCATTTGATATGAATTTGATTCATCATGGGTTGACATTATGCCCCATATGGCATTAAGCCCCACATGTAAGGTTCTGGAACCACCACAATCCATCGATATGTTTCAAACCATACAATTACCATTGCACATGGTTGGATAAAAACCCAACAAAACACACCTGTAGCAATTGGGGCCCAGACTGGAATATAACCAGGTATCCTTCTGCGAAGGAGCGGCAAAATCACCCATTTTGATACTTTTGCGCCAGAATTGGCAAAGCTTGAACAACAGTTGCATTGCTGGGTGATGTTCAAGAAGACTTCCCCGTGGTTGTTCCATCACCACCCATATTCCTCTAGCCAATGCTAGGAAGCAAAGTAATGCACAACGTGCTGCCATGCAGTTTCCTTCTGACACGCATCGCACTGAGGTATCCCCGAGCACATTGTAAGCCGATCTTTTTGTCGTTCCACGTGACCTTAGGCCCGAAAGCTGGGGCAGCGTGGTGTTTGAAGCATTTTTTTCTGGCCCAAAACAATATTGATCAACTAATAAGCGTTTACAATGGGGTCATGGTTTGGAAAGTTGGAAACTGGCACCACATCAAGTAATATGTATACTGTATACTTTGTCAATATGGATACATCTATTTATGTATATGCATATAGATGTAAAGTATGTTTGTAGATGTGTACATGTACAAATGTATATATATATATATACATATATATATATATGTATTTTGTGTATAGCCGTATATATGTATGTAAGTGTATGTGTGTACATGTTTAACATGTAAAATATGTAGAATATGTGTAGTATGCCAAATATGTAAGTGTATATTGAGAATATGTATTTCTGCAAATACCCATATATGTATCAATGTGCTGTAAATGTATTCTATATGTACGGTATATGGATATGATAATGTATATATGCACATGGGCATGCCTCACAATAAGGGTATCCTAAGCCCCTAAGCTTTTAAAGCTTGGACTGTTTATAAAGTTTTCGGGATTTCCTCTTTTGATATATGTTTGCTTGACACCTCATAGCTGCAGCCAATGCACACCCATACCCATGAAGAACAGACTGGAGCGAGGGTCATTGAAGACCCCCGTTCCAGCCGAAGGACTTGGTAGATGGCATGGACGTATCCTTCGGGCGACAATATGTTCATGTAGTGCGGGTCGTACTCCACATCATAAGCTGCACATGTTCTTCCCTCCTGCAGGTTGCATTGCTAAAGGCTTGAAGGCTTGAAGGTTGGTGTTCCCATAGCTGCCTTAAATGTCTTTTCCAAGACCACTGAATAACATATAGGGTATGCACTGCCCTAGCCACATGCAAACGGTATATGTTTTTGTTTTCTTCATGGTTCATCCACAGACTGCGCTAACCGTTGTAAGTCCTGAATTTCGGCCAATGTAACTTCCATCTTCCCAGAGAAGAACTCAGCATGCTGCGTTGGGGCCCATGATAAGCCAGGCAGCGAAAACACCAAAGCAGCCAGCACCGCAAGGACCTCAATCTGGAAGAGGGGAGGCCACAATCCATTCTTTCTGTGGTAATCTCATTGGGAACAATTGCGCTTTTCCATGGCCTATTGGTCATTCTTCGATAATCTTGGTTTTAGCTTTTGAGCTCTAGGCTTATTGGATTCCGCTTTCGGCTCCATGTCAGAAAGAAACAGTTTTCAAAGTTGAGACACTAACTCAAGGAGACAGAAAACAAATCGCATGGTGCTTCAAGCCAAACCACCCTGAATTAAACAGAAAACAGATCTCATGTTGGCCAAATTAAGCCTTGTTGCCTTGGGCGCTTTCAACATGCGCAATCCAGCCATAGTTTCACGACGGTGTTTACCAGGCACAGTCTCTGGCACCGAATCAGGTTCGCTCAAGCCCTTGGGCACTGACTTTGACCCTGCTCCGGCCACGAGCGCAGCACGCCGGGGCACTCTGTGGCTCGTAGGTTTCCCCATTGCCAAACTGGGACTGGAAATGTGAGCTTTGGAGCTGAGCCTATAGAGCTCATAAACACATGATTTTCACAAGACATTTCCATTTAAGGCAATTTCTTTGTGGATAAAGATCCCAAAATTGAAAACAAAATGGATTGAACCGGACATGTTCTATAGCTCTCTTCAATCACAGGCTGACATGGAAGAAGACACGGTTCAAAAACCCAGCCGACCGGGCGGCAGCAACATGACCTTGAGGTCACTTCATCACCTTCATCAGCTGCAACCAGACCTCCAGCCAGAGCAGCCAGAGCAGGAGCGCATTGTCATGGATTGGGATGGGTTGGAATGGATTGGATTGGAATGTATTGGAATGTATTGGAATAGAAACTGGATCAAACATGTGTTGCGCCAGACCCCCCCAAGTATCCAGCCTTGTGCCACGCAATTTATCCCGCTGGCATCTCCCCGGCAGCGGGCCAATGTGTTTGAATTAGGCCCAAATAGATTCTCGGAAACTGCTGTTTTTGATTCCGCTCTGGATATATCTCATCTACTAATAATCCCATCAATAATCTATAGAAGAAACCCTCATGCGACAGCTTCCTTGCAAGTTGTTTCCACAAGAATAAGGTATCAAACCAACAGGAAAATTCCAAAAGGTAACAGTAGCATACTTGAGCCAGGACTTGGCATGGGATCAAACATGGGAACCGGATTGTTCAAAGTCCATTGCTTCAGGATCTAAGTGGCAACTATTGAAATGTAAAACTACAAGTTGCTTCTCGCTGTGAGATGGGCTAATCCTTTGATTTTTTCCTCCACCGCGCTACTGACACGATGCTCAAGACATCTCAAGACATTTGGGCATGATCACCCCCAGGCTGCTGTTGGTACCCATCCAAGGCACTAAAGGAATTGGTTTCAACAAGCCTGACCTTTTTGTCACAACAAAGCATGACTGATCACTAGTCACTATAGGCTCCCAAAGCAACCGGTTGTCGCACCGAGATTGATGAGAAACTTTGCTTTCCCCAGAACTATAGTTGGCTGAACTGGTATGGCATGTCAGTAGGCAAGCCGGTGTGGAGTTCTTTAACCTCTTTGCATTTTCTGTGACTTGAGCGTTTGAAGGCTTTAAAGCTTTAAAGCATATTCCCATCTACCCGACTTTCCTGTCTATGACAGCCATACGCTGCAGCTGAAACCCTGCCGCGCCTCATTGATCTGCAATGGGGCAGAAACCCTACCAAAAAGATCGCCAGTTGGAGCTTCCCTGACCCTTGTAAAACGACAAAGCGTTCATTGTTTTGAACAGAAAAAATGCTGCACCTTTATGGGCCACAAGTTAATCACATTTTCAATTTCCAGATCAGGGGTTCAGACGATAGCCAGACCTGCTTCTGACAACATCCCAGGCCTTCTGAACATTTTCAAATTTTCCCCAGGACACGTGACCCTGAGGCCCTTCAAATCCGTCCTTCACCTTTTTGATGAAAAACCCACGCTTCTGAAGGAGTACTTCGACCACTGCCCCATTCCCATCCGACAGGGTATATGAATGGTTGCCACGGTTGGCACGGCTCAAATTTGGCCATGCATCCCTGGGGATTTCATCCAGGCTGTATGCCCCATAAGTCGATTTGGGTTCTGGGCTCATTGGGGCCATACTCAACGAATCAACTGAATGTTCATCAGCCTTGGCCACCTTCTTCGAAGTGCCAGACCGCTTGAACGATGCCTTCTTGTTGACCTTGTGCGTGCACTTCTTCTTCCCCTTGTTCCCCTTGTTCCCCTTGTTCTTGTGAGGAGCCTTGGAAAACAAAGAACTCATCTTGTGACTGTTTAGGGTATGTGCAGCCTTCATGGAAGATGGGGTAATGAGGAGACTACATACTATGGAATTGTAATGAAACCCAAACCACCAAAAACACGAAAGAATAAGATTGCAACACTTCTCTGAACACAGCTGAAAAACGGAAACCTTTGGAGGTGTCTCAACCAAAGGGAATCCCCAGAAGCCGGGTTTGCTACACTGGGGTGTCTCCATGGTTGCCTTGGAGCCAGAGGATGGCCCACTGTTGATGGCACGATCTTGGGCTGCCACGGATGCTTTGCGCAACTCTTGGTGAAAAGTGTCCTCGTCCACAACTCCCTTCTCGGAAGAGGAAGAGTCATAAGAATCATCCTCAGAACCAGATCCTGTATAGGCTTCTGCCTTCGGGTTGGGTGCTTCCCTGGGCTCGGGTTCTGCCATGGGGCTAGGAGAGCGGGGCTGCTGCCCAAGAACCCAAGTGCTTCCCGAATCACAAGACTCATCATCAGACTTTGCATGGGGAATCACCGCATCACCATCAACCCTTTTCACATTGGTGAACACGGCGCGACCCCGGCTGGAATATGCATCCGGCTCCCAAGGCGAACCAGGGCTAAGAGTGGGAGTTAAGCTAATGTCATCATCATCATCACACTCCCCCTTCCCCGATGGGGCCCCACCCTCACACATTGGATTGTGGAAATTCCTTTTCACAGCATACTTGGCCCAGAAAAGTTTTCGCTTTTCGGTTGGTGTCAACTCATCAGGAACAGCCCCTTTCTCATCCTGAGACCCAGGGCTTGACTCGGACTCCTGATTCGTGTCTGCCATGGCATCACCATCACCTGGGTTGACACGGGGAGCATCTGCAAGGCTCATGTCACTGGCGTTGTCTTCATTGTCATGGGGTTCATGCCCTGCTGGTTCCATATCATCATCACTCTCATCTGACGCTGAATGCTGTGACGTTTCGGAATCACCCTCATAATCACTATCATCGGGGTTCTCATTGGGTTCCTGGTCCACAATGGCCGCCACATCAGGTTCGGGTTCACCACTTTCATCACCATGGTTCTCCTGCATGCGGGCTGAAGGATTCTTGAAACTATATTTTGAAGTTTGATCTAAAACCAGATTTTGTGGGTTGGCTGGGAATGGGACTCATTGGATAAACACAATGACCTGAACAAGAAACAACCCAGTTCTTCCTGGCCGCCCCGACTCGGCGACATGCGAAGGAGACTCTTCAGCTCAGCCACATGCGCATCGTTGCTGTCGTTCGGACCTCACTGTCGCTGGTGGGGCCTGAAAGTTGGTTCCAAAATAGCGTTTCTTGATTAAACCATGATGCCTTGACAAGTCCAAGTTAATAAATACTTTGAACTATATCCCAGGGGCTGTTTCTGAAAAGGTGGCGCAAGGCGCCCAACAAGCGCTTAATGCGCTTCGCCTCCTTTCCAGCTAGATCCGTCTTGGACTCATCTTGCGTAGGCACCAGCATGAGGTGGTTCAAGTGGGAATCCAACTTCAAGAAGCTATCGGCCAAGAAAAAACCACTTGGTACCTATTCAGAGGCATCATGCGCTAACACCCAAAGATTGAAGAACTGTACATAATGGGTTGAGGGTGGTGTTGAAAATTTCTGTGATACTAATACAAACCATGGAACGGTCGTATGTATAACAATCAATGTGAAACCTACTAGTTCTATGTGGGATACAAAGTTAAATGAATCTTATGTCATATCTTTTTGAAATATGGTAATGGAAATAATGCACCTACTTTTCTGCAGGTATGCCTTCGAACACCTATGCATACCTATGCATCAACCGTTTCAACCACCAGATCACCATGTATATATATATATAGAAATAAATAATATATATATATATATCTCTTATACATCAAAAGAACAACCAATGTATGCGTTTCACATCCCAGTGAATTTTGCAGACACGCACACACACACACAGAGCCTTATATGGGTACTCTTCGCACACCGCCCTGAGCCAGAGAAAGTTCTTGCTGATTTCCTGCCATGTAAGTGTGGGTTCAGGTAAGATTGTGTGGATTTCTTGGTGCTTATGTTTCTTTGACCGCTTCAATGGGTTTGACAAACATTGTAAACAACATATATATATCGTTCCCTGGTTTGTCGATGCTACTACTTCTCAGATCCAAACGCAACTATAACTATCTTTGTTGGTAACCAAGTTCGGACCAATAGATGTTCTTGTAGATGGGATAGTAAATGACCCTCTCCCTGTAAACTCCTTCGCACACGGGGTGGTCACGTCTGACTCCACCGACACCAATGCGGCCCCAGGTGGCAGCCGGTTGTTGCGGATTATCTCCAAAGCCCTTCCAGGAAATTCGTTCAGCCACTTGGTCGCCAAGCGGTCCTGAGCATGGCCAAGGGTTTGCGCATCTCTTGGGTAATGAACCACCCTAAATCAGAAAAATATGATACAAATATATATGTGAAATATATATATATATATAGTCATTTGATTTTGGCTTGGGACAAGATGAATTCAATTTGTTCGTGTTTTCCATTTTTGAGGATCAATAAGAGGACAACTGGTTCGTTCGCAATTTCACTTCAGCTAAGTTTCGACATCAGCTTCATTCCACGAAATCTTTCCAGGTCCTTAATTTGCTGTTGGCAACAGCGACATGAATTAATGGTCCGGGTGGGCATTAAATGGTACTGGACGATAGTGGACGTCACCTTGAACTTCGGTCCGTTCAATACAGTTGGGGCATGACCCTGCACAAGTTGCCCAAATGCAAGCGGGGCACGAACTGATTTCCATGGCACTGGGTTCCGAAGGGGAACAATCATGGCTCGCAACGCCAAGGCACAATGCCAAGATGAGAGGAGCGAGGTGCCTAAGCCTAGGGATCCTGCCTCACGAGTTTCAGAAGCCACGCACGGCCAGGCAATGGGGTGAGACATGACCACACTGAGAACCCTGAAAAAAACAGATTCTTGATAATGTCATCCCAATCCAAGTCAAAATTTGGAATATGGGCCGTGATCAAAAAAAAGTAAGGAGAAGAGAGAGAGAGAAAGAGAGAGAGAGATATATATATATATAGAGAGGAGAGGAGAGTAGAGCAGAGGAGACAAGAATAGAGTAGAGTAGAGTAGGAGCAGAGTAGAGTAGAGCAGGGTAGAGTAGAGTAGGAGTAGGGTAGAGTAGGGTAGGGTAGGTTAGGGCAGAGTAGAGTAGAGTAGAGTAGACTAGAGTAGAGTAGAGGAGACAAGAATAGAGTAGAGTAGAGTAGAGTAGACTTAGAGTAGAGTAGAGTAGAGTAGAGTAGAGTAGAGTAGAGTAGAGTAGAGTAGAGGAGACAAGAGTAGAGTAGAGTAGAGTAGAGGAGACAAGAATAGAGTAGAGTAGAGTAGACAAGTAGAGTAGAGTAGAGTAGAGTAGACTAGAGTAGAGTAGAGGAGACAAGTAGAGTAGAGTAGAGTAGAGTAGACTAGAGTAGAGTAGAGTAGAATAGAGTAGAGTAGAGTAGAGTAGAGGAGACAAGAGTAGAGTAGAGTAGAGTAGAGTAGACTTAGAGTAGAGTAGAGTAGAGTAGAGTAGAGTAGGGTAGGGTAGAGTAGAGTAGAGTAGAGTAGAGTAGAGGAGACAAGAGTAGAGTAGAGTAGAGTAGAGTAGAGTAGAGTAGAGGAGACAAGAATAGAGTAGAGTCGAGTCGAGTGGAGTCGAGTGGAGTAGAGTAGGGGTAGGAGTAGGAGTAGGAGTAGGAGTAGGAGTAGGAGTAGAGTAGAATAGAATAGAATTAGAATAGATAGAAGAATAGATAGATAAATAGATAGATAAATAGATAGATAGGTAGACAGACAGACAGACAGATAGATAGATAGATAGATTAGGATAGATTAGGATAGATTAGGATAGATTAGGATAGATTAGGATAGATTAGGATAGATAGGCTTAGATAGAGAGAAAGACTTATTTAAATAGATATATTTTGATTGAGATTTAGATAGTAGCAAGATGATTTGGGGTACCCAAATTTTAGGAAACTTTCATATTTATACAACTGTATGTTTGTTGTTTGTTCGGTGCTCCCAAGGTTAGGAAGAAACAGTTGTTAACGGATGCTTTTTGATCGCGGCCCCTATTTGCCATCACACAATCAAAGAGCCGAGCGTGATGTCTGAAAGTGCTAGACAACCACAGTTCCACGGATGTTGCATTGCAAATCATAAACTCTGTGACATCGGTTTGGCAGCGTTCAAATTAAACAAATGAATTTATCTCCTCACACACATTTACACATTAGCCAGGGTATCTCATCCTTTCATGCGGCGGAAGTTCTGCAAACATGTTTGCTCATGATGAACCGGCGTTGGCCCTGTGGAAAAAACAACGGGCGTGAGATTTTCATGATCTCGGTGCTGTTCAATCCAATGGTGAAATCTGGAATGCCAGACTTATATATAAATGACTTTTTTTTTTATGCCAGGGCTTCTAATTGGATTTGGTGTTACCCAGATTTTCGTGATCTCGGTGCTGTTCAATCCAATGGTGAAATCTGGAATGCCAGCAAACACAGCTTGGCAAGTTGCCCCACGACACTGCCCCCATCTTCGGTTGCTATATTTGGGAAGACCAAGAAAACCAATAATATATGCGTTTAACCGTTTTTTTTTTCCAGGGAAGTATTCAGTTTCCACATGGGTAGTCCTCTCTGAGAAGCATTTATGTATAAGTCAATATTGCGTATTTGTTTGAATATTTGAACCTTTTGTAACACGCAGAAACTTTATATATATATACATATTATCGAAATCTTTGTGAATCAAATGGAATGATTTCGCAACTTCATTCGGGAAACGATGCATTGCAAACCATATCCATATATAAATATATATATATATATTTATTTACATATATATATATTTACATATATATATATATTTACATATATATATAAATATAAATGTAAATATATATATATATATATATTTGGGTATGCCAATGTATTTTGTAAAGATGGGTATGTGTGCATGCCTGTATGTATGTATGCATGTATGAATGCATGTAGGCATTTAGGCATGTATGCATGTATGTATCCATGTAGGCAATTAGGCATGTATGCATGTATGCATGTATGCATGTGTGTATACGTCTATGTATGCATGTATGGGCATGTATGCATGTTAAGTATGTATGTAGGTACGCAATGATAGCACATGCAACGACATGGAATGGAATGGAACGGATGTAACGGACAATGTGTACAAGTGCGCTTGTACACAGGCACGTGTAAGTTGTACACAGGCACGTGTAAGGCAAAGTAGGTAATACCTGGTTGTCTGTATGCATGGATGGATGTATGCATGTTTGGGATAGGATGATGTATAGGTTCATGTATGTGTGTGTATGCATGGATGTATGGACGCCTCAATGAAAGGTAAAGTAAAGCAAAATAACGTAATGTAATGACATGTAATGTAAGGTGATGTAATGTAACGCATGGGCAGGTAATGTGATGCAATGCAAGGTACGATGTGGTATGGTAGGTAGGTTTAGGCATGTATGTTGTGGTAGGTGTGTAGGTATGTAGATAGGTATGTATGTCAATGGGCAGGTCTGCCCGTATGCATCTATGCACATGCGCGCATTTATTTCACAGTTTCTACATGTTTGCATTTATGACATATATGTTGTATGGACATATTTATTTCAATATATATATATATTATTATAATATATATATATATGTAAATATAAACATATCGAGAGAGAGAGAGATTCTTAAGTATTAATGTATGTATCTATAAATGTCTATTTGGTTTGTTGGACGCTTGGGTTGTCACTTACCTCCTCCCATACAGTAACCTACACTTACCTTCCAGGAAGTTTCCATTTCCATGGCAAACCGGTTCTGGCAAGGTCACAGCATCATACTGCGCAAGCTGTTCTCACAGACTGCAGGTCAGAGCATGCAGGATTGTCGTAAACAACAGAAGACAACTCCAGCCCTCTTTTGCAGAAAAGTTGTCCTAAGGACAACCTTGGATCCTCACGGCATCGCATCTGTGTACCCCAGCAACTCCGACTCTGAAGTCGAAAGGGTTCCAAAGGCCTGCTGTTTGGACTCCCATTGGATGGGACAGCCGCCATACATCGCAATCAGTCCTTGATGACCACGACCACCTGCCGGACCAAAAGAGGCATCTGAATGAACCTCCAACCTGAGCATCGATCTAGGGAATGCCAGTTCGGATTCACCTCTTTGGCCAGGTTCACAACTTCCATAGTGTAGGGCCATGCTCACCGTGGTTTTGAGGTAGCCAAGCATATGCTCCCCATACTGACAAACTCGACGTGGAGCTTTCGTCACCATCCTTCCCATCCACGACACCCCATAGCTGAAGTCTGGTCGGGTTCGGCAAGACAGCCACAGCAGTTCGCCAACAATGCCCTGGGCAGCACGGACATCTTGGATACGCACCTCATCTTCTGGTTCTTCATCCAAAACTCCAGGAAAAGGAGTGCTTCTGCAGGCTACTCCGGGATGCCGATCCAGTAGGTCCTGTGCATACGACTGCTGGCTCAAAAGGAACTGATCACCTCGCTTGGTCAGTTCAAAGCCGCAAAACTTGACGTAGGCACCCTCCACCACAAACTCAGGATTTGAACATTTCCACTCCTGCTGAATGCGCTCCAAGAGGGTGTTCACCATGTCCAGCTCCCCCACAACCGCCATGTCATCCACATATAGTGCAAGGAAGCCCAATGCCTCTTCATCGTCTTTTCCATCCACCGTCAACACCTTAAAAAGGTTTGGCTCCGGAGTTGCCAGCAGTTGCAACTTGCGTCCATTGCAGGTCCACTGGATGCCCTTGAGCACACCATTCCTGTAGTCAGTCCAATTGGAAGGGCTTGAAGTAAGCCCATACATGGCATTCCGCACCTCCCACCATTCGTTTGGACCAACTATGCCCGCTTCTTGAAGTACCTTCGGAGGCCTCATAGTCAACAACGTAGACTGAGCTTCTCTCCTGGGTGCCAACAAAAAGGCTGTACGCACATCCACCGTTGCACAGTGCCACCTCTTTGCCGCTGCCTTCCTCAGCATCGACCGCAGCAACACACCATCTGCACCTCCCGCGTAATTGGCAAACAGAGCACCGCCAGGACCACCAAGAGGACCATCTCCTTCAGGCTGCTTATCTGGGTTCTTGGCCTCAATGCGGTTGCCACAAATGACAATCCTGGCTCGGCGCCTTCCATGGGGAGACTTGATGGTCGGCACCAGCATCGCGGGAGCTACCTCCATTTGATGATACCGTGGATCTTTGCGAAGCTCCTCCTCCGTGGTCACTTTCAAGGCTCCCGTGATCTCCGTCAGGGACTTGTACTCGTCCAAAAGAGGCTGTTTCCACAACTCCAACTCCTATCGAACCTGCTGGAGCGGGACCGTGTACGTCTGCAAAACTGTGGGTGGAGGTTCTTGAGGATCATCCATTGAAGCCTGCACCAACGCTGCCAGCCGATGTCGCTCCAAGGCCTGATGCTGCTCCTCCAACCCATCTTCTCTTTTCAGCAAGTCCTCCATCAAGACTCCCAGCCACTGTCCTTGTTGAAGACCTTCATCTTCTCCAATAGCCACATGCCTCAACTCCTTCATCCAGAGCTGTTTCAAGGCCCAATGCTCCTGCAGCTCTTCTTCGTGAACTGCTTCCATCTCCTCCCATGTGCACGTCCAGGACGAAGAGGTACTGGATAGCGTTGAAGTACTTGACAAGGTAGAGAGGTACTTGGCAAGGTCGTCTGAGACAGCGCTGAAGAATCCAAAACTGCTGCTGTTGCA